CCCGATTGCGTAATGCCAGACAGACACGTGTTCAAGATTGACTATTTTGTTACATGTACAAAGTGAGGCCATGATTAGAAGCTAGTTTGTCGCCCCTTTTTTCCAAGCCGCTCTACACCCTCCCCATCCCAATGTCCCTCAATTAAGCATAAGCAATTATTAGTTAACTTTAGAACCGGTATTTCTGATTTCGACGGCTTGACGAATTCTACACTTACTTACAAATATTCGATAATGAACAGAAAACACATTTGATACCATTCACTTTCTACAATGACTTCGGCACAACACCTTTGTAGTGGACACTTTCATTTGCTTTCCAAAAAGCCTCATCATCATCCACGGCAGGACTCGAACCATGAACAGAAAACAAATTTGATACCATTCAACCTCGTATCCACTTTCTACAATGACTTCGGCGCAACACTTTTGTCGTGGACACTTTCATTTGCTTGACAAAAAGCCTCATCAGCATCCACTGCGGGACTCGAACCATGACAGTGCGGCGTACAACCTCGACACGCTAAGGCTGCTCTGTCAGGGTCCGGGTCCCGCTGGTGAGGATGCTGAAGGGACGAGGCGAGGTGGAAACTGCAGTCCACGTCGGCCGGGATGAGAACGCTTTTTTGCAAAACAACGAAACGTAAGATCGACTCAACTGATCGTGTGAAAATTCAACTGCCAGTTGCATTATCACCTTCCACGAGATAGGATGAATACATCTCATACTACTGATTGACTGGTAAGCTCGAAAGCCGGTTAATGAAAAAAAAGTAAAATGATATGATGTCTCGAAAAGATGCCGCGGAAACTGGAAGCTTTTGCAAGAGTCACTTGCAGCTCTGACGAAATGGCGGACGAAAGCTGAATCCGTTTTCACCAGAAACTATGGCGGGTGTGACGTGGACAGCGTGAGCCTGAAGGTATTATCAAAGCACTTTCCAACTTCAACAACCACATTTCACGAATGTCATCGAAACCGGCAAATTCGTGTATTCTTGGTATGCTCAACAAGCTTGCTCGAGAAGCCAAAGAGCCGAGACCTGCCCTCCGGACTCGAGCAAGTCTCGTCGCGACACGCCTGCCCCCAAAAGGATACCAAATCCAAGTCTGTTTGTCCGGTCGTCTGTGCGTCTTGGCGTCATGGGGTCGTCTGCCGGAGTAGTCGTGGCAATGTACAGCATTGAAATGTATTAGAAAAGCCGATTGTTGCTAGCCATGGCAACCGGATAAAAGTTGATGTTGTTGCCATGCTGAGGGAGTGGTAGAGACTAATCATCCTGTTGTATTGGAGAGCTAGAGCAAAGGGTGGGGACGAGTGAGGGCGGTCGACATGGCGACATGTGAAAAGCGCGCTTCGGTGGCATCAGAGACGAGGACTGAGAAGGTGGGCGGTGGCAGCGAGGAAGAGTGTGTCTGAGAAATGGCGCCAATCGGAGGAGGGCAGGAGAGGGAGTGAAGAGAACGAGAAGTGTGACGATCGACGCTGTTCAACGCTAAACCGTTGGGAAATGGAGATGTGTGGCACAATCAAACGCTACCTTTTCTACGATCTGCTACTCAACGCATACAAGCCCATCTCATCGTGCCTACAGCCTTTTGCTCTTCGTTTCGTTTCGTCTCTTCTCTTCTCTTCTCTTCTGCCGAATTCACAGAAACGTCACTTTCGTCATTTCCACTCGATTTTATGCACATTTCCTGTCATGTGTCGCTTTTCTTGACACCTTCAAATCGTAATCTGCCAACCAACCGTCATCCGTCCAGAATTTAGGCAATATCGGTCTTTGTCGAAATGCCTAAAATTGTGCTCTTTTCACCATAAAATGTGTATGATTTTTTCTCCTTCTCAGAACGATCGCACAGAGGTTAAATGATCCTTCCATCTTGCATCTGCACCGAGTCTGCAGGGATTCACATCGCTTCGCGCTGATCATTTGGGAAAAGGAGTTCAGACTAAAGTATTGCCTTTCAGGATCACTTACGGACCTGCGCTCTGGCGATTATATGAACAAAAGCCGAGTTGCCAAGACTACCGTTATAATCACATGCAAGTGAAGTGTGCTTTCTGAGGAAAATGTGGACTGGAAACGAAGGGTTTTTGGGCAGCGGAGTCTTTTAGATTACACGAAAAAGTACCAAAGACTCAGGACTCTGCAGTTCCAATCCTTCTGTGCTCAATTCGGTTTCGTTTTTCAAAATCTGAAAGATTCGCACATGCAAAGCTCACCAAGACTACCGTTCTAGTCACATGCGTTTCGGGTGAAAACGGGCTGAGCTTTCGTCCATCAAATGATGGACATCGTCAGAGCTGGGTGTCATTCTTGTAAGAACTTCACGTTGACACTAAAGCAAGAACACTATCCGGCTCTATCTTACTACTTATATAGATTCAATTGAGCTAAAAGAAAATAAAAATCTAGATAGATCGATATAAAAAGGTTTAGCTAATTATCTTTTAGCTTAGTTGAGTCTATATAAGAGGTAAGATTGAATAGGGTAAATACATTTCATATTTCTATTTTTGTCACCGTCATTTGTTACTGTATATAATCTATTTTTCGAATTAATTATTATTTTCGTGACTACCAGTAAATAAGTAGTATGACATGTATTCACCCAATTTTGTTTAAGGTGGTGAAGGACTGGCAGTAGACACTGCGGATCAAAACCTGAGATTTAACTTTTGACAACCCTGATTTATGAACCGTAATGCATATAGACAAATACACATACTCATACAATCGAGCAAAAATACAAGGACCAGTATGAAAGAAAATTAGCCAAACCACTTTATATTTATCTATCTAGGTTTTTATTTTTATTTTTTAATTTTTTCGGCTACACATTAGCCA